TTTATTACACGGCATTGCGGCTGCAAAGACCAAGCATGTAAGTATATGAGTAAATTTATTTGATTAATTTAAATGGCGTTCCGGAATTTACAAAACCATTTTAAATCGTTTCTTAAATATACTGTAGGAAGAAGATAAAATTGTGAGGAAAGAACTTGTGAGTCTCAAGGACCATCTTAGATCTTCAAAATTAACAGCTGTAAGTTCAATGTCGATACACAACAAAATGGCATATAAACTGGAAAATATGATAGACATATTATTATTATTGATTATTATTATATGAATATTTATTCAGGATAAACTCATCTGAGTATTATAGAGCTCCGTTATCAGTGAGGTTCTGTATTAAACCTATTGAGCTATACTAATTAAGTTAAATTACAACTAGATTAATTAAGTTAAATTACAACTAATTATAATTATATTAAAACTAAAGATGAGGTAATTAATTGGCCATTTTGACATAATATGTAATCAGCCTATTATTGCATGATAATCAGCGAGATGGTCAGTTGTAAGAAGATTACTATAACTTTTACATTCTGACAAAATTGGGTGGAATGACATACAAATGTGGACAGATATATATGGATAGGCAATCCTATACTTACTGTATGTTATATTATATTGTTATTTAGAAGCAGATCAGAGAGTTATTGATTCGATTAATTTACTGTGAAATGCTCGGCCATGATGCTTCATTTGGTTATATCAACGCGATCAAATATGCGGAACAATCTGCGCTCTTAGACAAGAAAACTGGTATGTAACAAAATAAACCAATGTAGCTTTTTTTAAATGATGACCATGCAAAAGTAATCCAGTATTTTAATTTTATTAGGTTATCTGGCTGCTTCAATATTTCTGAGTAGAAATCACAATCTTGTTTGCCTACTAATAAATACAATACAAAAGGTGTGTTACTGTAGCTGTCTTTGTATTAATTGAATCATCTTTGCATCGGTGCTTCTACCATTTGCATGCGACCATGAACTGTGAAGGTTTTCCCACATTTGTGTATGTTTCAAATGTACATGTTTGCTGTTACTTTTATATGTATTTGTCAGTCTCCCCCTTGTTGTTTTATAATCTATAGAAGGTAGGTTTTAGATCAAATATAGCATTTTTTATCAGTTTTACACTGAATCTTAAATATTATATTTCATAATATCTGTACAAGTGAAATATATATACTCCACATTTCGAATTTTTTATGAACTCCACTTCTTTATTAGAGAAAGTTGTCAGGGTGGGTTACAGGGCCGCCCAGATGGAGGGGCAAAGGGGGCAAATTGCCCCGGGCCCCGAGTTGCTGGGGGCCCCTGAAAAATTTTTGTAGGGCCCCAGCCTTTTTTGTGTGTTAAATATTTCCGCGCAAAGGACAAGATATCTGTTTTCTTGGGCTAAGTACCGAATTTTGGCATAAAAAATGAGATAAAGAAGTCGCTCGAAAGCAATTGCAATGTACTCGTCCGGAAAAATTTTGCAATCCGGGGGGGGGGGGGGTTGTTCTCCGGAAAAAAAATTTTTTAGATAGGGGCCCCTAAAAAAAAATTTGCCCCGGGCCCCCGCCAACCTCTGGGCGCCCCTGCAGCTTCAAATTGGGGTCATGTAAACACCCCCTAAATAAGACAATAATTCATTTGGAGTCATATCACTCTTAAAGGAACTTGGAAGTTTTTAACATTATTACCAAAAACTTGCAAATTAGAGATTGCATGGCCAAAGAATTTTTTTGGTTCAATTTATAACATATTGTTTGACAAAGTAAATTGAAGATCGTAATTTATTCATTTGAAAAAAAGCATAATTGAATCTTTGTTTTGAAGACATTTTGAATCCTAATTCGTCAATCGAAAGTTTAAGGATACATGCAATCATCTGAGATAGTCCTGTCGGTATTGCTTCAACTAGGTTAAGCCCGGTAAAACAAAGATGACAGTTGATGAAAGTTACTCTCGCTCGCGTTTGAACGCCTACTCCAACAACATGCATCAACTTTGAACTGGTTCAAATGCGGTGATATCCAATCAACTCTCATCAACTCCCATGCAACTCTTGTTCTCGTTTGCTCGGTGAATGAGAGTTGAGGAACCTCTCATGCAAACGTTTGCTTCTCCACTCTTATCAACTCTTTTTCCGTTATGTTTTTAGCTTGCTCGAATGAACCCATTGCTTGCTCGAATGAACCCAGTTTTCGTAAGTGGAAAATTGGTATGAAATGACATATTATATTCAAGACATAAGCGATATTAACAATATTGTTTTTATAAAAAAAAGGAAAGGAGCAACGAAACATTTAAAACAATATGTGCATTTCATGTAATTAAGAAAATAGACAATGAGATTATAAACCTCATTAAACTTCATTATCTTTTGTTTGAATTGCATTGGACGCGACCTAAATTCAACGTATAAAACAGGCCCAACATTTTTTGTTCGTGTAAAGGAAGCCGATCGTATTTGACACATATTCTAGGACTTTTTCATTAACTTTTAATGATTGCTGATTCATAAAACAAAGAAATATTACAAAAACGAAAATCATAAAATAATGGTTGCTTGTGAAAGCGGAAATAAAAAAGTCACTGTTCATACTTCAATTAGAATGTCGTCATACCCGTTAAGTATTTTCGCTCATATTTTTCATTTATTTAGTCAAAAAGCGTCAAAAATTTTCATCCTGTACGTTCCATGATCTGTTTGAAATTACGTGGACCTTTGAAGCACGGGGAAATTGAGGGTAAAATAAAAATCATTAGTGAAATTATGCAACTCATTATTATGCACCATCTACTTAATTATATGCTTTATGCAAAGCATACTAATGAGATCAATGTGTTCTTTGCTTGTGATGTTACTCTGAGTGTATATCCACATCGGGCAGGCTTGAAAAATATGCCTGACCACGGTGGGAATCAAACCTACGACATTTGGAATACTAGCCCAATACATTACACCAACACAGAAAATATCATGATTACTAGATCACATTGATATCGAAGGAACTAGACTCAGTTCCGAAATATCACATACTCGAACCGGCCTGACCGCGTAGCTCAGTTGGCAGAGCATTGTGCTAGTATTCCAAAGGTCGTAGGTTCGATTCCCACCGTGGTCAGACATATTTTTCAAGCCTGACCAGTGTGGATATACACTCCGAGTAACATCACAAGCATCTTATTCACTTGAGTACATTACACCAACACAGAAAATATAATGCGTTCTTTTCAATACAAGCTCATTAGCATTGCTCCGTAATGGAGCACGCTATACTACGGAGCACGCTATACTAGGGAGCACGCTATAGCAGTATGCGCAGTAGATACGAAATTGGGTAGCAATTTTCTGCGACTCGACTCGAATACGAAAAATGACTCGAATTGTTGATTTCTACCGTTAATGACTCGAATCAACTAAGCTACAACTTGTTCAGGATACATTAATAAAAAATATTGTAGTTGAATAGGTTGGGAAGAGTCATCAAAGGGCTTGAAGAAATAAACAGTAATTCTCGATGCAGATAGGCATGTTTCCGCTTGTGAAGTGGCATTTTTGTTTACCTTTTTGTTCACCGTACAATTCGCGTAGCCTGTAGCCATTGACACGACTCTAGTGAAGCCACTGGCTCGACTCGTACTCGACTTGAGTGAAACCATTGACTCAACTCGATTCGACTCGACTCGACCAGATAGCGAAATGACTCGAACTTTGTTATGAACTTTATTAACAACGGTACTATTTCAACAAAACATTTACAAAGAAAAATACGCGCGGGGGGGGGAGGGAGGGGTGACCTTTCAGTAGGCAGTATACACTAGCTAAGATTTATATAAAGATTAAATTCAAACTAAAATACTATATACAACTATATACAAGAGTTACATACATGTTTCATTTTAGTTTTAAAGCCAGAGACAGAGATATTTCTTCTAGATTTTAAGTCAACGAGAAGGTTATTCCAAGTCTCAGCTCCTTTGTAGGCAAAAGCCTTCTTCATATAATTTGTATTAGGCTAAGGTAGTGAGAAATTAAATTCGCTATGTCTCGTATTGTAGTCATGCTTTCATTCGTGTTGGTAAAAACTTCTGTTGAATAATTTGGTAGCAACTTATGTTTAACTTTGTACATATTGTACTAATTGATGCCTCCTTCCAGTTTGTAGATTAGGAAGACCGACCTTGTTCAAAATGTCTGCTGAACGTGTTTCATAATTATCATGGGTTAAATGCTCTGTTTTGAAGCTTCTGGAGTTTATCTGAGAATCCTTTCCCCAGACAGCCCCAAACCTGTGAGCAGTAGTCAAAGTGATGATGGATTATTGTAAATATATTGTAATTAATGTTCGGTAATCTACTATATCTCACAATCTTCTCAGGATACTGAGGCCTGAATTAACCATTCTTGTAATTTGGTCGACTTGGGCATTCCATGACAGAGTTTCGTCAAACGCGACCTTTGGTGGTGTTTCCACAAACAAAATATTATATCTTTTATCGCCATGCAAACCTACAAAGAACTTAATAAAAAAATTATTTCACATTTCAATCAGAGACGCCAGTAAAGGCCCTTGCACAATTACACAGATCAGCAAGTACCACACAGTATCGGGGGTTAAAATTTAGCAAAATTAGATTCCAATTCCCCTCCGTGTTGAGACTGATATGCAACCTAAGGAACACTTTAAAAATAGATGTATATGTTACATTTCAAAAAATACTTTATTATTTGGCAAGTTGCCTACTAAGACATATGGATATGGACGTGATTATGCGTATAACTCCGGCATAAAGAAACATTTAGCGAAATGTTAATTATAGAGAAGTTTATTTGGTACATTAAAAAATTGGTCGTATAGACACTCGAAATCTGTCATATTGTTGAACCACTAAATAAACGAAACTATATTATGCAACGACGTACAATTTCACAATTTTGTTTTCTAATAAAGCTCTACATTAGTAACAGCTAACAACACTGTCTCTCACAGCACTACTAGTACTCTGCTGCATTTTCTTTTACCATACATCAGATTAATTTTGTAAATTACGAGCCAAGCAGATTTTAATTAGCTCAAAATTTTCTGAAAAATGGAGCCCAGCACAAACAATCATTCGTTTACGACATACAGAAATGGGGCCTGGATTATCACCTACATCTAAACACGTTAAAATTTGATCACGCTCTTCAGCCTCTTCTATGTTAATTAAGTATAACATATGGTTAGATGAACCATAAAGTAACTTTTTGTTATCAAAAAAATTCAACCCTGACAGAAAACCATCACTTATCGGAATAATCTTGGGACAAAGAATTTCTGCGACAACATCATAGATGTATATTTTGGTACTTTCCACACTAGACAATGCTAATCTACTTCCTTCGGGAGAAAATTCAGCCTCAAAAGTGCAAATCCCTGACCTAACCTTATCGAAATCATCAGTCCAACTAATACTATGTACCTTTTCCCCATCTTTCCATAAAGAAATTTCACTAGACTTCGTCCGTGCAAATACAAGATATTCAATGCTACATGCGTATACTGAATACACATCTTCAGTAAAAATCATTTGGCAAACTATTTGTCTGGTAAAAACATTAAAAAAGTTAATATACCCTTCGTCATGAACACAAGCTATTACTTCATCCGACACATACAGAAATTTCCTCGTGCCAGTCAGTTGATCTAATCTTGCCAAACATTGTGTTAAATCATTATTAAACAGCTCTGGAGTATCATTGCCTCCGTGCAGAATAACACAGTCTCTCACAACCACAAAATCGAATTCACCTGACTGTTGATAAGGTTTTGAATATTTATACTTTGAATCAAGTGTGCGAACAGTAAAACTTTTGTTCATCGCATTATTTACATAAACAAAATCGCCATTTGTAGATATGTTGGAAAAGATATCTTTCTTCATACTAAGTTCCTGTTCCTCGGTATCTATTAAACCATCTATGCTAAACACATACATGAAACTTGAAGTAGATGAGAAAACCAGAACGCTTTTAACATCTATTAAGAAGTATCTAATTGCATCATTCCTGGACCATCCAAACATGTCATGGAGATTTTTCATTATTTTTGACAACCAAGACTGCTCTGGATGTTGCAAGAAATGTTCTATATCATGAGAAGAGTGAACATTACTTGGTAGAACTGCGTTAACTACAGGGAGAAGAAGCTCAGACGATTGGGACAGGTCATAATTTTGAACGCAAAAATTTGGACCAAGAGAACAGAACCACGAATGTTGCTCAAAAGTGGAAACGATTTCAACGGGGAACTCACTGTCAATTATGGCAGAATCAATGTTGTAATCATTTGTTACATCGTAAACGGTTAAAACGTTTTCGGCATCAGTGGTTCCCAAAAAATTGCCACTAGCAGTAAAAGAAAGGGAGTGCAGCATTTTGCATGGGACGTATTTTTCCTTAGCACCGCTTAAAACGTTCCACACAAACAATTTACTACCATGATATGTTGCCATTCTGCTTGCATCCAAAGAAAAACAACAGTTTGTAAATACAGAACTATCTTCATCATATTGAAATGTCCCAGTTGTATAAGTTCCCAGCAAAGTTATCATCTTGTCGAGTCTCCCAGGAAGTATTACATTTTCACGAGGATGAAAAACAATACAATGTGGCAACATACACGTACCATCATGACTATCATTAAGTATCACCGGGAAATCTTGCATTCTCCACTCTAACGTACCGGTTATTAACGAAAAAAGTTCAATCCCACCCTGTTCATAACTACAGACAACGTAGTCGTGGTGAGGAGATACGTCAATACCTGATATTGTGCCAGAAAGAAAGCAGAGGGCTTCAAATTTGTGATTTCTCCCACCTTTGTTAATTAGTTCTAGGTAAACAAAATCCTTGTAATGCGTTTCAAGCAAAGTTGAAGCCTTAGACGAAAGCTCATCTCCACCCTCGTTAACAACATTTTGCAAGAAAGTTTGGGGATGATTTCTTAAAAAGCAGCCATACTTTCTGATTAGAAAAAACAAACAGCTCAACGCCGTTCTCGTTCTCTCAGAAACACGTATGTGCATCTCATGATTCAGAAAGGTAGTGATATTGTTCATAGTAAGATCAATATCGACACAAACACTGGCAAACACAACTTCTAAATCTGTAACGTAGGAACTTACAAAGTATTCTAGTTTCTCTGTATCATCTAATCCATTCAGCATATGCGGTACGCAGTGTTTCAGGGCATACTTGACGACCGCAGTAGCAGGACTTTCACTACTGACACCATTTTTCTTCAACTCATCCAATATTTTAACACATATATCAAAAAGGGTTTTATGACCATATTGTACATCAACAGAGTAATCATGGTCAGAGTTATCGACAAGCCAGTCTCTTACTGATTTATGAAAGAACGAAATAGATTTGTCTTCGTTGACAACAAGAAAAGTTGAAATAGAATTGATGGCTTTTCTTGTCTTTTGCCTGGATCCTGGGGAATTCTGAAAGTCAAATATGGTTCCAACAAACGCCTCTGGCAACGGTTCGCCAGCAACTGCAAGAACACTTAGAAAGGACACGAATGTATCCTCCGAAAGACTTAAATCACGTTCTAGTCTTCGAAAACAGCTTTCATAATACTCCTCAACACCTTTTGGCAAACTGTCTATTCTATGCATGCCAGATTCGTTTTTATAAATTTCACAAAGGAAAAACGCATAAAGCATCAGACCCTCACATTTTTCTGCCAAATTATCTACAAAACCTTTCAAGGAGGCATTCGCACATGAAATTCTCTCTTCTAAAACCAGTTTGATGTCACTTAAATTTCGTTGATCGTTAGAATCAATATACAAAGGGTTAAGTTTTATGAACTTATCTAGTAGATTTTTCTCTGGTCTTGTGGTGACCACAAAACGAATGTAAGAAGGAAGTTTATGCAAGTGATTAGATATCAAAAAAGCAAGCTCGTGCTTACCAAGGAACTCACTTTCATCAACAGCGTCAAGTACAACCAATATACGTTTTCTATTATCAGGAATACCTGAAAATGGTTCTTTAAAAAGAACGGAAAATAACCCTTCGATATTCATATTATTCAATGATTGTCCGAGATTACCGGAAAGCTTCTCAATAAGAGCTTCTTTGTATGCAGGAACAACTTTACATAAGTGCAAAGCTAAAGATTGCAGAAAGAAATTTGGATTGTTGTATTGACTGTTATTGTATTGAAAGAAATGAGATGCACCTACGTGCTCAGCAAATCGTTTACAGATAACAGCGGCGATAACAGACTTACCCATGCCAGCAACGGAAGAAATGACAAACACGCGATTTTCAGAAGTTTCATCATTAAACCAAGTTAAAAGTTGTTCAAATACCCATTCTCGAGTACCCTTCACAAATTTTTCGAAGTACAACTCGATCTCTTTCTGAAAGTCGCACCAAACAAGATGCTTATTTAGTACACCGTCCGACCGGAGTTCCTCGTCTTTTTTAACAAGAACATTCACATTATCTTTAATATCACTCAAGACGTTCATAACTTTCTTATTCCATCCTTTGAAAATCCGTTCCACTTCTTCTTCCACACATTTCTTCTTTTCTAGCCTATCTATTTCCTTTTGGTCTATCCCTAAGCGAACTAATGGTAAACTTATTTCTACCCAGAAAATCTTAAAATCTGCAGTACTAACTGCTGTATTGGGGATGTGGCCAAAACGCTCATTACGAAATAACCTTATACGAATGATATCGGCTTCAACAGAATGATCTGTAATATTCGGCATTTTGTCCCAACCGGAACATGGTGGTGATAAACTACATATGCTTCTTAAAAGAACAGATAGCAAAGTTATGTCAAAATCCTTAATATTTGGATGGTTGGGAGGGGCAGGGTATAATTTACCCCACTGGTTTTGATTGATTATTTTGCGACTTTTGAGGTTTGAAAGAATGTGGTGATTACATGTAGAAGATGCATATGTAGTCGAACTACATGTACAGGATAATACAACCTGTAAATTTCCAGGGTGAGTTTTCTGAAAGGCATTTCTCAACGCTTCAGTTCCACCATCCAAAATCAGCCGCATTAACTTCGTGCCATTAAATGTCTCATCTGAGCTACCAAGCAATGAAGATAGTGACCTACTTGCCATGCTCAGCTGTAAAATTAAAACATTCTATTTAGTGCCCGGGGTATATACGAATTACTTAGAGCTGTAATGTTGGCATGAACTGTTTGTTACATGTTTTCATTGTCAAGAGGCTAAACGGTTAGAAGCATGTGAATTCAGTAGTTAGATTAGAATTAGATATTTCTACGTCTCTCATGCTTTTTTTTTGAAGCAGCAAAATGTTATCAATACTAATGTTTTGTTTAGTGATGTTAGAACTTATGCGTCATTTGTGTCGGTCCTCGATCACACACAAATAACAACTGGAGTTAGCATCTTGCGGAATTAATTATTTAGGCACACTATTTCAAAGCGTAGAATTACGAAAACAAACATACTCCATTATGTTTATAACCGTTTACTTTTGTTCATTTTTGCAATGTTTCTACATTTATATATTGAATAAAAGCGCACAGCAGCAAGGTGATGCATGCCACTTACCATTTAATTAGGTCATGACCGTTTTGACAGCTGATTGAAAGCAGACACCGCTACACAGTGATGCACCATAATATTAAAAATAGACAAGGTAATCGTAGGGCCGTAGTGAAGAGGATAAAGAGGAGGGGCGGTTATCGCATTTATGACATTCAGTCATTTTACGAAACGATTTGTATGCGAAGCCGTTATTAGTTGCCGAAAAGACGTTTTCAAGGGGCGTCACCTCCCCTCAGTGGCTACGGCCCTGGGTAATTTGTTTGAGTGTTTCTACTACACATCTGTGTATCGTATTGATCATTAACGTGCAGCAAACATTCATTAAAATGCGCCTATACTGTAGGTTATAGCAGCAGGAGTCGTCCCAGTCAATCATTTGTATTGTGCATGAACGAAAACGTAGACTAGAAGTTACTATCGCATGGCAAGTGCTGCCTTATGACCACAGCCCTAGGGGTTAAATTGCCTCATACACACTGTATGAATGAACTTATTTTGTTCAAAAAGTATCGAAATTACAACATGCAATAATTACTGGATACTGTAAATTGTACTTCGGAATTTTATATTCTATCCAATGTCATGTTATTTTTGGTGCCAACTGCCAATATTTTAAACTGACATTAAATGTCAATAAAAATCATTACTTAGTCTTCACTTGTGAAAATGTCTTGAAGAAAATAATTAGATCATTAGGAAGAACAAATTATCGTATCCATTTAGCATTTAGTGTCCATTGTTGGCCATCATTATTGTCCAACAACTTGTTAGGTTGCTGTACATATACAGGTTTGTAATATCATGACATACAGTATTCCCGACATTCACATGGTAGATTGGAAACAACTATGGTAATGAAATAATAATACATGGCAGATTCCATCCCATTACATTAGACGTAATATATCCATACAATCTTGTAAATCAGCATTCTTGTTTTAATAGGAATACATCTCTGTTAATCCAGAAGCTCTCATCCTATTACATGTTATGTAATATATCCATACAATATTTGACCGTAACAAGGCACCTTTCACATCCTTCAGAATTGCAAAACTATAGAAAAAAATAATTGGTAGCATGAGACATTAGGCACCGCAGAATAGACAATTCCAGCTTTTAGTTTATGCGTGCTGGGCCGGATGGGAAGTAAAGGTATCATATTGCTGATTATGCTGAAAAAATAAAAATGGTGGCCGTGTAAACACGGAGTGATAGCTTATACTTGTAAGTATTGAAATATTTCGGTTGATTCTGCAGTTTTTATTGAAATTTTTCGCATCATCAGCGATTTGATACCTTACTTACTGTCACTCCCAGTACATATAAGTGGACAGATCAATGTTACTTTTTGCCTCAACAGGTTCTACCACATTGGCTACGTAGTTCAATGTTATTTTGTGCCTCAATGGGTTCTACCACAATATGTAGTCGAATGTTATTTTGTGCTTAATGGGCTCTACCGCAATGGGCAGATCAATGACATTGTTATTTTGTGCCTCAATGAGCTCGATCATAATGGGCAGAATGGCAGACCAATGTTATTTTGTACTTCAGTGGGCTTTAGCTTCACAATGCAATGCGCTCCAGAGACCACAATGGGTAGACTGTTATTATTTTGTCCTACCACAAAGGGTAGACTGTTATTGTTCTGTCATACCACCATAGCTATAACGTTACTGTTTAATGTCCTACCAAGGTTATTTTGTGCATCAAAGAGATCCACAGGCGTTGTAGTTGTTTTTGCATGCACTACACTGACTACAGCTGGCACATTTATACGTGTGCCAATCACAGAATCACGTATCTCGTATTAAGAAAACATGTTCGTACAACTTGAAACACTGACAACTTTTACCTACATATAAGAATTCGACATCAGGTTCTAAGACAACAAAAGCATCATTCTGAGCTTGCAAGTACTTTTTGTCTCATCGTAATATTAAGACATTAAAAGTGCCGATAAACTCATAAAAGCACATTGTTTGACGCTAGATTGAACACTAAAAAGGTCATCGCCTTGATATATTTTAGAAGAAAGAAATAGAGCCATACGTACCTGAATTTTTCCGAATATTTTCGATCTTTTGAATCCGTATGAAAAGCTTGTAAATTCTTTTGATTCTTAAAGCACATGGAGATGCGTGCGCAATACAAAATCTCAACCTCGTCCCCAGGGACTTCCTCGTGGTGGCGCGTGAGCTGAGGAAGACCCTGGTAAAATACGATGAAATCTCCAAGATTCTTGGAGATTTA